GGCTCAAGTGGTCAGAAGGCTCGGGACTCAAGTACCCCATTTTTAGCACAAGGCGATCAAGGCTGATCGCGGCGACTCCAGGAGAGCACCAACCAAGAAAACGCGTTCAATTGAAAAGTTTCCATCCGATCGCCACCAATATCTAAAATGGTCAAGTTTGGCATCGAGTCAAGCCCACCTAGAAGAGTGCAACCCGCCCTACCGACGTGTACACAAGGTAATGAGGAAACAAGTGCAAGCAGAATCGGAGTACCCTCTATAATAAGTTGGTTGCATGGGCGCCAGTGGAGAGTCAGGATCGCCTCATAAAATGAGCAGACCCCACACCACTACACATGCTAAAAAGAAGAAGCCGAGCTACAGCTTTAAACAGCAACTTAACATCCGCAGATGTTACACGTGCGGGAGCGCCAAGCTCTTGCGCCCACAGTGTCCGCTGAGGAATCCGCGTCAAATTCGGCGGAGTCGCAATCCGTCTCTTACCCCGAAGATAGATACGGATCAGATAACGCTAACTCCCATTAGGCGCGGGGCGCCCTACTAGAGAGGAACTGGGCTCTGCCGATTCTTTAGTTGGTAAAGATAGACAGGGCTTAGCCCCAGACGGTTTTGTGGAAGTTTCTACGAGATGTGAGTATAAACCAGGATTGTTAGTGGCCTTGGCTAAGATTAAGGGCTTTGAAGAGCCGTGGTCAATTTTGATTGACGCTGGGGCGTCGAGCAACTGTGCTCGACGCCGGTCCCCCAGAGGGATGTCAGCAGTATGCTGAGGCGCTCAAAGCACATGAGAGTGATGTTATCACTGTTCGATTGGCGACAGGGACCCCTTTTACCGTACTTAAAGTTCCATTGAACTTAGGTGTAAAGTTTTTGGACTTTGATAGTATCAACAGTTGTCTTGTCCTGGATTTGGACTCGAGATATTATCTCAGCCTTGGAATGGCTTGGCTAGAGCGCCATGAACCATGGATTTATTGGAGGTCAGAGGCCTTAGGCGCAACGCGAAATGTTCCTAGTCAAGCTTTGGAGAGTCATGAACCCACTTTTGCTAGGCAACAAAAGCGCTGTTGGCGCGCGCCACAGACGGATTCTGTCAGTGTGCTAGACATCGGAGTGTCTGAGATATGTAACTCTGATGACATTGACAAAGGTAAAACGGCACGTATTCCATTGAGTGACACTCATAATGACAGTGAATCACTGAACGCTGGAAGCATTGAACGCCGAGTCATCCTAGGTGTGATCCCTGTGATGCGCGTGGAGTGGCACGTAAACATCCACAGAGTGAGGTCGGCCGTGATGGCACCCCACTAAATGTCGGTAATGACATTGTTGGTGATTCACCAAGTCATCACGAGCTATGCTCAACAGATGCGAATATAGTGGATAACTGTCCACAGAGTGAGGTCGGTCGTGATAGCACCACACTTAATGTCGGTAATGACATTGGCTCTCAGAGAGAGCAGGTCGAAAGTGGAGATAATCTTCACCTCGTGGAACCGGATGTTCCTAACACGTTGAAGTGTTTAGTCACTGCACAGAGACGACAGCGACGCCAGATTGCGGCTTTTAAACCAAAAGGCATCCACCGTGTCCCAAAACGATACCAGTGAACAGTTGTACACATTGGTCAATGAAATGACGGGTGATATTGACGGAGAAGTTGGCCTCGAGCCCTCCCATCACTTAACGCTTCGTTAGATCTGGATGAAATATCTGTCGATGAATTTCATCAGGCCTTGAGTGCTGGTGCTTTATCTGATATGGCGGTCCTCAGACCTGACCTTGAACTCGTCATTTCATTTGGAAAAAACCAGTCCTTGAGGACATTAAAGTTGCACTCAGTGCTCGCGTGGATCTGCTATTTTGGAGGATCCTTCGGATCCTTTCTACTTCCTGGTTACGGAATTTTATGATGGGGGTGTGTCATGATCCACTATCCACTCTACCTCCCGACGGAGGTGTGTGTCATGAGATTGACCTGGTCCCTGGTACCAATATTGTTTTACAATCCAAAGGCCGTTGCCTAAAGAACAGTGTGATGTCATTGACGAGTTCTTTCGTGAAAAGCACGCGGCAGGCATGGTGCGGGAGAGAAAATACTCGCATTCAACACCGACATATTGTGTCAGAAAGCCTAATGGTAAGTGGCGTATTGTGCATGCTTACAATAATCTTCACGCAGCCACTATATTGGCACAGAAACCTGTTCCTAAAAAGGATGTTCTTTAGAACGCTATAGTTGATGTACCACATTCAGTGCACTCGACTTGATCGATGAGTATGACCAATTGGTCATGCGAGCGAGTGATACCCCGCTCAAAGCGGTTAGTACGTCGAGCGGCATACTTTGGAAATGGTTTGTTATGCCTCAGGGCTTTCTATTGCCCCCGACCGCTTTTAATCGTCTTGTGACGCAGTTGTTCCGCCCTCATAGAGGATATGCACAAAGCTATTTTGATGACACTTTGTCCATAGCCGTGCAGAACAAGGAAGACTAGATGTGGAAAATCACATTTATCATTTACGAGCAGTGCTCGGGTGCATGCGCACAAACAAGCTGTATGCAAAAGCATCTAAATGCATTTTTGGTGCTGAAAGTTTTTCTTTATCGGGTGTTTCATCGGAAAGCGCGGCCTACGGGCAGATCCTGCTAAGGTAAAATTCATTGTGGATTGTCCAATTCCGTTGAAACAAAAAGACTTGCGTAAATGGCTTGGTTTAGCCAATTACTTACATAAGTATAGTGCAAACTATGCTGACATGGCAAGGCCCCTAACTAACCTCCTTTAAAAGGACGCGGTTTGGTGTTGGGACTCGGTTCAGGCACAAGCTTTTTAAGCTGTTAAGTATGGTCTCCTTCATGCTCCAATTTTGGCTTTGCCTGACCCGGAGCAACCTTTCACTGTCGTCTGTGACGCATCAAATTTTGCCATTGGCAGTGCATTGTTGCAAACTGATGTCGATGGACATGAACGAGTCATCGCGTACGAGTCTCGCCAGCTAAAAGCTGCTGAAAAGAACTATCGAGTTCACGATAAAGAGTTACTCGCAATGAAAAATGCTGTTGTCAAGTTCAGATTCCACATACTTGGCTCCAAGCCGTTTGTAATCTACACGGATCATGCGTCATTGCGCACTGCGACCCAGTCGCCTCATCTCTCGCAACGTATCGCCCGTTGACTTTATTCTTTGCTGAGTATAACTTCGAGGTGAAGTATAAACCAGGGAAGCAACATGCTTTGGACGATGCGTTGTCATGCAGGCCGGATTGTGAGCTTGCTCATGTTACGACTCTGTCGTCTTCTATTCCTGAGTCAATCCGTGCGGCTTATGCCAAGGATAATCAGTGTGTCGCGTTGTTACGCGCACACGATTGTGATGAGTCCAAAGACTCGGACATAAAATTGTCGACACGCTCGCGTGCAGGGCTGTATCGAGATTCTTTCAATCATGCCCTCTTGTGCTATAGCACGAATGAGGCGGATAATCCGCGCATCTTCGTACCTCATGATGCGGAACTGAAGAATAGTATCCTCTTTGAGGCGCATGATACAGTTTTTAAGCGTTCCTCTCGGTCCAGAAATACATTTAGCTCGGTTAGCCAACACTATTGCTGACCCAAATTATTTAAGTGGGTGAGCACATATGTGCGTACGTGTGAAACGTGTCAACGGGTCAAACCCTCCACTCATGCGGCTGCGCCTTTGGCGAGTTAAACTGTTCCCACTAGGTGTTGGGAATCCATCAGTATGGACTTTGTATTTGGCCTACCGAAAGATTCGGATGGAAACACTGGTATTGTGGTCTTTGTTGACCGTTTGAGCAAGATGACTCATTTAGCGGCTGTACCAGACTCGATCGATGTTGAACGTACAGCAGCTGTTTATTGATCGGGTATTTCGTCAACACAGTTTGCCAGTGGCAATTGTTTTCAGAACGTGATCCTCGGTTTACCGGGAAATTTTGGAAGTCTATATTCATGGTGCTAGGCACCAGATTGGACATTTCCACAGCGGATCATCCGCAGAACGCTAATTAAAATGAACGCGTTAATCGTGTAATTCATGACATTTTGCTCAGCGTTTGCGCAGATACGCCTCTGCGTTGGAGATCCATGCTTCCGGTGGTCGAATTTGCCATGATCAAAATGGTTCATGCATCGACTGGCTACACCCCGTTCTATGTGAACGGCCTTAACCATCCTCGCGTCCCATTGACGCTACCACTCCGCAGTTCCGGGCTTGGTGGAGGAGGGATTGCTGATTGGCTTGCTGGTGTCAGCCCTGCCGCTGTTCAGAAACAGGTTGGTGAGTTCCTTGCAACAAGGTTGAATGTCTTATAATATGTGCGAGATGCAGTGGCTGATAGCGAAGATGAACAAATGGAACAAACAGATGCCAAAGGCAAAAATTGTATCGAAAGTTATAAGGTCAGAGACCAAGTCTTGCTAAACACTGAGAACCTACCTACAAATGTAGTGTCTGATGTATTTAAGACGAAGTTGCGTCCGCGCTTTATCGGACCTTTTACGGTCGTGGACAAGAAGGGCCTTGCGTATACGCTAAGCTTACCGCGCAAATTGCGTACACATCCCGTATTTATGTCGGCCTGCTTAAGCCGTACCAGTACCCGTCCCATGTTGACTTGAAGGCGCTTGCGCCACGTACATTGGTGTTGCCACAGGATTTGCATCGGAATTAAGAAGTCAAGTTAAGCCTCGACACGAGTCTGACGTGACTTCATTATCTGAAGACGGGCGCGATCGCCTTCCAACGTCTGTGGAAGAGATCGGGATTCGCCCAGGGCGTTATGAGTCTGACCCAAAGTCTCACGGAGATCCTCTACTTTCTTTACCAACTCAGCATGGATCTCAGCCGATAATTCGACCGCCACTGGCGCTGCTTGATAAGCGAACTTACAGTTCCATGTGGAGCGGGTACTTCAACGACATCGTCGTCATAGTCACTACCAATATCTGGGGAAGTGGCGTGGGTACCTTAAGGCTGAAAGCTCATGGGAGTATGAGATTCCCGTCCGGCAATATTATCCATACGCCATTGACGTTTTTGAGCGCCACGGCCGAGCTTGTCTTGACGAGCGTCAAGCTTCTCACTCGACGCAGTGAAAGCGGGCGAGCTTGTGTCAAAAGATTGACGTGAACTTGCGGCTGCAGAGGCAGCCGAAGCACAGCGAAAGCCTGATGCTCCCCACAGACAGCCACTGGCCTTTATCTTCGCGTAGTCATAGCGAAGTTTTTGCTCTCGACGAACGTCTGTCACACTTGCACTTTCGCGTAGCGCGAACATGCTATTGAGGCGTCTAACTCCATGCACCCAGCGGATGAACATTTTGTCCTCCGCAAATTCGTCCCCATCTTCGGACATAATGATGTGTGTAATCCTAGTTTGTGGAACCGGTGTTCCTTAGGCCTGTTTTTGCAGCCGTTCTCTGTATTGACTCAAAGTAATCACAGTAGGTTCCAAGTACCTTTCTCGAAGAGCCTTGCGGCGTTCGATTTCAGTGGGCGTTTTTGCCTCGGGGCCGATGGCCCATGTTGCAAAGTTATGGCGTGACCCTTGAAGAATTAGTTCTTCCACGCTAGGTGGAGTGAACGTATTTTCACTGTGTCGTTGCAACTTTGTCGGAACTTCTGACTTGCGATGTGCGATTGTCGCTTGATCGAGCATGCTTTGTTGCTCCCTATCAAGCGGGTTAGTGATAATGGGAGTATCCATGGGGGACATTGCTCCCAGCGCTGTTAGCGCAGTCGCGGCACTACGTTCAGGGAACAGATTAGGTGCCGGATGAGGAATGTCCCCACGCACAGGTGTGCTAGGTTTGGGTTGCTTCTCCGTCTCGACTTTGGTATCGCTACTACTGTCATAGTCCACGTCTTCGACACCAAGATATTCAGCTAGAGCCTTATCTTCCAGAAGGTGTCCAGGTCGATCCATGTAAGTGCGTAACTTTGCAACATGTCTCAATGGGAGAATGAGTAAAGTGACGTTGGTGGTAATGTCATTCTGGTGGGTGAGGGTGTAACGGGGTCACTCTAGCCATTGGCTAAGTTGGTCAAAACCTTCCCACAAATGATATGGATGAATGTATGTGACATTAGATTTTATATCAATCAGAGTACCGATTAGTCGATATTCTCTGAGTTACGGTAATTACCGTGAAAGTACTTTGTACTGTCACCATATGATGACTGAGTGATGTGCCAACCATCCATTCAGTTCAAATACTAATTTTTGTACTAGTTCTAGTTTAGTACGATATAGGGTACATAAAGTAGAATTTTCCTTGCTATAAAATCTAAATAATTCAGCTCTCATTTTGAGCAAAAGTCCGTAAACTCCCCCCCTTCCGCACATTGTTTCCTGAATTTCCTTAGAACTGCCGTAGCTTAGATATTCCTTATGCTCCTATTCCCCTGCACATTGTTCTTGTGGTTCTCTAGACCTACACAGTAGTTAAACTGTTAGCTCGTAGCGTCTACCCGAGTTCCGTGGGACCGGGAGGTACCTGGATCGAAACCCGGTGGGGGTTCGATTATAGGGCGCCGGAGATAGGCTAATAATGTAGACGAGCAACCACCAATGAGTGGCCGGTACCGTCCGGAGGCCCTACAAGCCGATAAGCCCCATAGTGTAATGAGGGGTGCGGGTCCTGTAAGGAGTTCAAACTGAGTCAGAGTACTCGCAGTTCACCCCATGGTGATCTGAAGGATCGCGCGGCATAAATCTCTACCCGAGTTCCGTAGAACTGGGTGACTCTCTAACTTGATATTTTAGTTCCTTAGAACTAATAGGCTGTCAGCCGTATGCCGTTAGCTTGTAAAATAAGTCTTCCTCTGACTTAAAGAGCTGTGTAGCTCCGCTACACAAATATTCTGCAAACTTAGACGTGGCCGTCGCGATTGTCCACTCAAGCAACTTCCATAGTAGCGCGCTACAAGCCCCGCCTTTCTTCTCTACCCTAGCCGACCCATCAAAGCTAACTAACAGATTTTCTTCTGCTTCGACTGTGGGTTGCGGCATGCTTATGGTTTGCCGTGGCTGTTTTCCTGGATCGATCGCGATCAGCATTTCGTCTGCGTCTTTGCAGGGGGTCACACTTGCAGCTAGAGTGCCCAGCATTTCATCTTTGCCGTTTTCGCATCGTCGAATCTATATTTTCCAGTTTAATAGTAACGCTGCCCATCTACCTAGTCTTCCGTTGAGACCATACAACTGCGATAGCCAAGCCAACGTCGAATATCTCGTAAGCACCATAATTTCTTGTGAGACCAACATCGTGTAACAACTGTCTAAAAATTCGGTGAAGAGCTAACACCTCTTTCTTGACCATTCCGCAATTGACTTCGTTAGGCTTCAGCGTGCAGCTTGAAAAGATGACTGGCCAATACGTGCCATCATATCCCTGAAGCAGTGCAGATGTTCCGCCCACTACTGGCGTATACCACTTTCACAGGTGCTCGATCTGGGTCAAAATGTCTTCAGATAGGGGTTTCAGCAATTTTGACTTTTACCAAAGTAAAATCTAGTACTTCCTTCTTCCATCGAATTCTGTTTCCTGAGTCCGGATCGCCCCTAACAAATTTTTTCAGGTCACCCTTTGTGTTTAAGTCCTGATCGCCCCAACAATTTTATCCAGATCACCCTTTGTGTTTAAGTCCAGATCGCCCCCGGCATTTAAGCCAGAAAATATCCGGACTCATCTCGTGAATTGCGATCGCGATCGGTTTCGGTGTCTGATATTGATAATTGAAACTCTTTGTCTTGGCTTATCTCAAGGAAACCTGTTTCCCGCAGCTCATAAAGCACAGAAGCATATATCGCAAATTCTTTTATAAAGCGACTGTATTAATTTAAGCTTTCCAGGAACGACTGCATTGATCTCAAAGTTCGAGGGAAGGGAATACTCACAATTGAGTCTGAGTCTTTGGAGTGGGCCTAAAACCACTTGAGCGATACTTGATGACCTAGAAAGTAAACCTTAGGATTCTCCAGAGGCTTTTGGCTACACTGATCGATAAGTTCCATCCGTCACACACTTCTAAAAGTCTTTCCACGCTTTAATACAGGGTGTGATGTATAATGCTTTGCTAAATAAAAACCAGTTAAAATTTGTATGTGGTGAATCGAACCTGGTGATCAGGCAAATGCGGGGAGAGATGGATTGTAAAGATCAAAACTATTGTTAATTTTTTATTGATAATTTTTTTAAATGATTATTATTTTTAGATTCTATGTTAAAAATTATTACTATACAAATAACTTGTTAAATGCATGCACTATCCGCCACCCTCCTGTTGTTTTAGTTGGAGCACCTTCATAAACATCTGGTAACCAAAAATGAAAAGGAGCTTGGTGAAGGTGATCGCAATCACTTGTATGAAATTCACGCTGTTTGATGTCTACAGCCAATCGTTCCATTGAGGAATAAAGAAAGGTCGTCATGTTGTTGCTACATGTCACAACATGACGACCTTTCGATATTAAGCCGTCCTAGTTTATACTCGAAGGAGTAGCTGTACTCCGCCATCAGTCGGCGTCGACGATATTAGTGCATGCGAGTTAGGTGTCGGGCCGATCTTCCGATACCCATAAAGTGCATTGTCCATCAGTCGTTTATAAATCTGGGGGAACGGTTTTAGCCTAAAAGGCATTCGTGACCATTCAAACATACCCGAAAGTGTGGTGATTGCGGAAATAGCTCTTGCTCATTCCGTCATTTCCACAACCTAAAATTCACTCGCCATGTCTAACGAGCAATACAACATCGCTTTGTCCAAATCTTGCAGCAACTTGTTAATCAGAAGCATGGGGTAAATCATCAATCTTTTCAACTGATTCGCCTTCCTATAGTTGATGCACAGCCGTTTATCTTCCACGTTACTCTCGATGATCACCACTAAATGAGAAGCCCAAGGCGAGGTGGACGGCTGGATGATCCGAGCCGATAGTAATTTCTTGAATAGGTCCACCAATTTTTCTTGATACTTAGGTGCCACCAGTCTCTGCGCGATCGGTTTAGCACTTCCAAAATCAATATCCCATACTGCTACATGAGTAAGTAGCGATATGTCCAGATCACTTGCCTCAACTTCTCTTGATCCTCTATCAGTGGCACGTCTAGATCTTCAACCTGAATGTCATCTATATCCACTTCTTCTGTGGGAGCGGTTATCTCTGACAATAGGGCCATATGTTGGTCCACATCTTCTGCTAACAGATCGCCCGTGTCATGGAGGTATAAAGCAAGTTTTTTTATCGTATTATCATATGTTGAATCTTTCACGCAAATGTGTAATGTAACGTTTTTTCTCTCCTGATCTGACAGCTAGAGATCCTGATCGGCCCCAGTCGAGCTATCATCATCGCCTGCGATCGCTCATGCTTTTCTGGGCGCTTCGTCCAACCAATTCTGTGTCCGATCACCATTATCTACTTTCACCATCCTACTGACCACAGCAGGCACTTCTAACGATCGCTGCTCTTCCTTCTCAGGGCGATGTTCGTCCTCGATGTTGCATTCTATAATATCCGCCACCTCTGCTCGTTAAAGAATCTTCTTTGTAGTAGGATGAGACGGGTGGTCCACTAGGGCCCCAAATACCCGATCGGATGTTCTTCGGTCAACTCCGTTGTAGCTTTAAATGCCAGAATCCGCTATTCCTAATACCGGCGTGATCTGACCGACACATATCCCGGTACCCGAGGTATCATGTCTGTCATCGTCCACCACCCTGAAGGAGTATACTGATCAATAATCTGGGTTGGAGTGGGGTTCGCTCATTTTTTTGAGGCGATCCCGACTCTTCACTGGCGCCCAGACGACCGACTAACGGAGAGGGTAATCCGATCCCGCTTGCACTTGTTTCCTCCTCACCTTGTGTACCTGTCGGCAGGGCGGGTTGCACTCTTCCAGGTGGACTCGATGCTAACCTTGACCGTTGTAGAGATTGGTGCTGATAGGGTGGCACATTCCCACCCAATCGCGTGTTCTGGGTTGACGCTCTGCTAGAGTCGCCGTGATCTGCCCTGATCACCTTATGCCTAAAATGGGGTACTTGAGTCGCGAGCCTTTCAAATATTTTGATCCGTCCAGATATCTTGTTTACAACCGATACGAATGGCTGCGTCCGATCGCAGTAGGGGTGTGTTGAGAGCCCTAGCACTGCTGGCCAAATAGCTCCAGGAGTGATCGTTCTATCCTTGATGTCGAGATTCTCAGACGTCGGGAGGCCAAAATATCCAACCCGGTGGAAGATCGACACGAAATTGTTTTGAAGCAAATTGAATACTTTACTACTCGGTTACCAAAAAGCAAATTGAATACTTTACTACTCGGTTACCAAACAAATTAATCTAATGGAATTACACAATGCCTGGCCAAACTATCCATAAATTGATGCATCTCGATGAGACGCGTTGTCCTTGACATCGGGAGGCCAATTTACGTTCCTGCCCAGAATTCCCTTGTATCTTGCGTAGACGGATCCATGTCGAATTGCTTGATCACATGGTTACTAAGCGCATAAAATCACGTTAAGAGACGAGCCCTGGCCAATCGATCCAGAAGCAGATACTTCTAGCACGCGTGACAACATCTGTCTTCGGGAGGCAAATATACGTTCCTGCCCGGAATGAAGTCGACGTGTGCCCTTTAAGGTAAATTGAACTCTGTTAAAGGTTAGCCAATCAGACCCTCACATATTACCCCTTTAACTCAGAAAACCAGATGCCATGCGTCGCCTCTACAGATCGCCCCTTGTACCTATGTGGCACAGACCTGACACACCAACCGTCTGATCGCAGCAGGGCATGATCCACGCCAGATCGCGGTCCCTTAATCGCGGCCCCTCATCGCGCCCTTTCACCGTTCGGAACCGTTCTGACTGGATGAGATATTTCCGTAATAATCCCAACGGCGTCATCTACATGATTGG